CACCCCCTTTTATAGCTTTGGCACAAGGCGGGAATATTTTGTCTCTCTGGGTCCCCACTTCCCCTTCTAAATGGAAAAGTACCAGATTTAAGATGGATTCCAGTATCATGTGACATGGTCACATGTCCTGTGAGGCCCCAGCCTCCATTCTTCCTGGGCTGGCCCACAGGTACACAGGAAGGTTTGCAAGTAAACAGAGCCATTTATAGTTCATTGATTCTGAAGGACCCTTAATGGCTTCCACTTAATATGTTTACATTAGTAATACAAGATTATATCTTATTCTCCTAACTTCAGATATGGAAATAATACATGCAAACAAATAGTATGAATACACTCGGTAGATTATAAACTTTGTAATGATACCTTACAAGAGACCTTTTGCATAAAGCATATTCCAGTTACATCATATTCACATTCATAAGCATATTTTCATAAAGCATATGGAGTGCAACGTCACACAAGTACTTCTTAACATTAATTAAAACTAAACTACACACTTTGCTTGAGAGTTCCGCATGGTTTTTCTGCTCAGTTTCCAAGCAAAAAGCCTAATCAATTCCTTGCAGTCCTGCAGTATATATGAGCGTAGCTGCTGTACTCAGCCATTTCCAGCATTCACTGGTATCTATGAGAGCCAGATTCTGTTAGTGATCATTCCTTTGCTCACATTAAGAAGCATTTTACTCCACAAGCAGTCCTGTTGACTTTACCTCAGCATGAACCAGGATATCAGCACCCAGGCCTAAATGATCAGGAGATCTAGTCCAATAGTAAATGTTGAGAATACGAGACCCAATCCTCTTCACAGTGTTGTCAATGGGAATTTGCCATTGATTTTAATAGGGGTAGGATCGGAGCCTTTATTTGTATAAATCAGAGTGATTGCAAAGCTGAGGTCAATCTAATTTCATTCCAAATAATGCTGTAGTCCTCTGAATGGAAAAGGCTTAGTTCTGTGTTCCATTTTCTTTTGACATGGAGAGATGTTTGGAATAGAGTCCATTTAACCACTCATAACATTTTCCCACACAATGAAGAGTGGATCCAGATGTTTGTAAAAGTGTCCAAAGGAGAATTTTCTTGACATTGTCCAAGAATGTTTTCATGAGTGGTTGTATTAGTAGGAAATTGAGAGATTGTGTATATAGGAAGTTGGATCTTATTATTACTATTTATTTGGTGTGAAAAAAGATTGCCTCCCCATTGTATTAGGCAGGGTACAAGCACTGAGTATCTGCGCCAAAGGAAAAATGAAATTGGTTACGTATAATTATGAGGTTTTATTTAAATTAGAAGATCAGAGAGCTGAGATATTCAATGAGACATCCAAAATTTGTTGTGCACAATCTTACCAGCGATCTCTAATTTTCAGTTATTCTAGACTAGCAGATGGATTGACCCACTAAGATACAAATGTCATATTGTGTGCAATTTCTTCATCCCAGATCAACAGATTTCATAACTGGATTCCATTAAAGTGATGTTGGGGATTTATATAGGAAGTGCATCAGTACAGTAGTGTGCTATGATACATCTTTCTCAATACTGAGACATCTAGGAATAAATTAATTCTTCCTAAAATGAAATCCATTTTACAATATAAGTGAAAGGTCAAAAATATAGAAATAACTATGGAAGGGTCATGCTGCCTAAATGCCAGCTTTCCCTCCAGTGTTTAATGTTATTTGCGTGTTTCCCTCTGAGTATAGGAAATGTGTTAAAGGAATGAATGAATGATCTTGCATGTGTATAGCACCTTTCCTCCAAATAGATCCTTTACTATCTGACTGTACATATAGGAATCACTTTGCTCACCAGAGGGTGAAACACAGCAATGTTTAGAACAGGGTGACCAGATAGCAAGTGTGAAAAATCAGGACACTTTTTGGGGGTTGGGGGGGCAGGAGATGTATAGTTGCGTATATAAGATAAAACCCCCAATATTTGGATGGTCCAGATAATATCAGGACGTCTGGTCACCCTAGTTTAGAAACACAACAACACGACAAAGGTTTCCTAACAATTAGTTCGGGACAGGAAGTGAAGAATGGCATAGCAACTGAAAAAACAGGATGATTTTTTATAAATAGCCAAACTTGCTCAGCAGTAGAAGCAGAGTGACAAAAAGGGCCCTAGGATTGGGAGAAACCACCAACTTGCTGGCTGAAAATGAGGGGGAAGAAGGCCAGTCAGAATTGCAGGTGGAGGTTATGCAGGAAGTAAAATAGCAGGAAATGTCTGGTAAAACCAGTGTGCTTCCTCCAGTGCAAAAAGAGGGAATAGTCTTGCATATGTGCTGTTGCTGTTAGAGCTGCTGGAATATCATCCATGATTCATTGAGGTATATTGCCATAAGACTTTTTTTTTTACAAAAAAAAAAAAAAAAAGGGTATTCAACAGAGTATGTAGAGGTACCTTCAGAGGGAACAAAGTACCGGTAATTCTAGACAACCATACATAGACAATATTTTAACAAGGAACTCCTGCAAAAAAAAATCCCTTCAATTCTGATAAACCATGGGACCCAAGAATGTGCATGCTTGTAAATAAATTATATGAAGGAATGGGAAGTTTATATATTTGTCTCCCATTTAAACAAAAATTCTCTTCAATAACCTTAACCAATGGGGAGGAAACTCCCTTTGCAAAAATCATATTTTAATGAAAAGTTTAGGCTTTGTTCCTGAAAACTATACTAGGACTGATTTACTACTGCATTACTCCAGTACCAGCATAAAACTGGAGTAACACAGTGGTGAATCAGGCCCACTGACTAAACTGACAGTATAGTCTTGTATAATTCAAAGATATAAACAGGGGTGAAAGCCTTAGAGAGGAATATGGAAAGGAAATACATTTTAAAATATCTACCATTTTGAAATGCAGTGCATCCCCATGGCAATAAATGTGTTCTTCAGAAATATATTTCTGATCCTTAAGCTCTGGCAAATATTATTTAACAGTACTCAGAAAGGGGCAAATTCAACTGGAGGCATGTAAACCACCTAAACCTCTTTTGAATTTGATATAATTTTAATATGACGCATCAGGCACATCAGTGGAAGTCTGTTTATCACAGTGCGTGCAGTTTCCTATTTCAAAGACAAATGAAACAACAATAATATACTCAGGAGGCAAAGAACGTTAATATGTATTTTGTATGTATTTTAAAGCTAAATTACCCTCCACTTTGCAACACATCTTTTGGCTCTAAAGCTGGGCCGAAAGTACTCTCCAAAAAATGCAGGGTCTGCCATTACTTTTGTAGCCTCCCACCCATATCCCCATCTCCCTCCATTTGTTATTGTCACTCTTTGCTTAAAATTGTAAAGCTTAATTTTAATTGTAAGCTTCTTGGTGCAGGCACCTACCTTTTTCTTTGTCTATACAGTGCCATGAGCACCTAGATGTATAAATAATAATTAAGTATATTAAAAGAATGTTAAGGTTGCAAAGGGAACCACTCAAAAGTAGGAAATGCAAGAATTAAGTTTGTCTGTGCATTGAGAAGAGACACATTCTTCCTGCTCACAGTCCTGGTGTCTGGTGCCATAGCAGCTGGGAGCAATTGCAGGGAAAATCCTGTTTAGTCCCTGCAACTCTGGATTGGAGCATGCTGGGTGCAGATTGAATGTTTGGAGAATTTAGCTGCCAAATTCGAATGTCTTTAGTGAGAAATGTGAACCAAGATTTTTGTAACTTGTAACTTGTCCAAATTTGGGTGGATTTTCATAGGAACAGGAAAAGGCACATCCTTGACACCAGGGTGACCCTGCCTGGAACCAAATAGTATTAGGGTGACCCCTCCCAGCAAATTCCAAGTCCCTGCTCCAAAACATTGGAGGTGCTAGAACATCACAACAAAACACTTGTAAGACTTTTTTTTAACAGGGACAACACAATGTATTTTTTTTCTAATTTCATTCTTGGGAATAGGTGAACCATTTTTTGCTGAAACTTTCCAGAAAAGTTCAGCCTGAGGCATTCACTTGGTATGGGAAATTTCAGAGTTAAAGTTAGATGTTATTAGCAACTGAAAAGAGGGGCTTATAATGGAAAGTGCTGGGCAACCTTAACTACAGATGGTCTGTCAGCTCTGCCTATAATAAATGAATGTAAATACTAGTAACAATGTCATGAGTTGAAATCAGATTTTAGGACCCAGACAGATTATTTGAATACGTTTATAAGGCCTTTGATCAGCACTGACCTAGTCTGGGCCCACAGATGCGAAGGCCAGAAAGGACCATTGTGATTATCTAGTACAGGGGTCGGCAACCTTTCAGAAATGGTGTGCGGAGTCTTCATTTATTCACTCTAATTTAAGGTTTTGCGTGCCAGTAATACATTTTAACGTTTTTAGAAGGGCTCTTTCTATAAGTCTATAATATAGAACTAAACTATTGTTGTATATAAAGTAAATAAGGTTTTTAAAACGTTTAAGAAGCTTCATTTAAAATTAAATTAAAATGCAGAGCCCCCTGGACCGGTGGCCAGGACCTGGGCAATGTGAGTGCCACTGAAAATCAGCTCGCGTGCCGCCTTTGGCACCCGTGCCATAGGTTGCCTACCCCTGATCTAGTATGACCACTGCACATCAGAGGCCATAGAACATCCCCCAAAATAATTCCTGGAGCATCTCTGTAAGAAAAAAGATCCCATCCTGATTTAAAAATTACCAGAGACATATAGTCCACCGGGACCCTTGGTAAATGTAGACCTTCTTTCTCTCTCATCAGCCTATTTCTCAGCTCTCTTCCCCCTCTCTTTGTCTCTGGTTCCCTCTCCCCCTCCCTGGCAGCCCTGCTTAGCACAGCCCTGATTGGGCCGGGGGGAGGCCCCACCTGCCGCGGAGTGTGTGGCTGGGGTGGGGACAGGAAGAGCGGCTGCAGTCCGCTGACCAAATACACGTTTCAAACATGAGTTTGCCGGAGCCAGAAGCTCTGGGAGCGGAGCGGCGCCTTCCCCAGCGTCTCTGAGCGGGCCGGGCCGCGGCACAGGGACAAAGCAGGGGGCAGCGCAGCGCTGGCGCTATGGTGAGCGAAGGCAATTTCGGGCAAGCGAGATGCGCGAGTCTCTCTCCTTTGGGGACAGACTCAAACTCCGGTAGCGCACCAGAAGGGGGCAGGGGGCAGCGGCGCTGTTTGGGGGGAGACGCGCCCTGTTGTGCCGGGGAGGGGGTGGGGGAGAGTCTCGCCTGCAGAGCTGGGTAGCTCCCGTGCAGCAGCAGGTGAGGACGGGAAACAGGTGGCTCTGGGGTGTCTGTGTGTTACCCCCCATCCCCACCAGGAGCAGCGGGGACGCTAAGCAGCGCTGGGAAGGAGCTCAGCCCTCACCCCCCCCACTGATTCTCCTCCGTGTCCCTCTCCGATTTCACCCGTGCCCTCCCCCTCGTTGTTCGCCCCCCTTCGCCCCTTGTCCGCAGTACGGGTTCGTCAATCACGCCCTGGAGCTGCTGGTGATCGGGAATTACGGCCCGGAGGTTTGGGAGGACATTAAGTAAGTGCCGCCCCCGGCGCGCTGCGAGGGGCCCCGGCTGGCTCGCTCTCTCTGTCCGGGAGCCGCCTCCCCTCGGGGCAAGATGCCCCCTCGCCCCCCGCTGTTCGCCCCGATCCGCCCCTGGCCTGCTCCCGTGCGGATCGTGGCTCCCTCTCCCCGTAGGGATCCCCCCGCCCGGACACTCTCCTCGGCAGCCGCAGCTGGTTCCCACGCTCCTGTCAGGGCGGGAGGGAGCGGAGGCAGCCGCAGCAGCCCGGGGGACACGGGTCAGGGCCGCGGGGCGAGAGGCAGCTCCCGGCTCGCTGGCACTTGGTGAGCAGCATCGCTCAGGTTCGTGGGAAGGAAGGAGCAAGGTCGGTTCCACACACTCAGCAGCCTCCTGAATGGGCCGATCCGAGCTCAGTTGCTCGTGGGAATGTTGCAAACGCGCCAGCAACCTCCAGCGCTGATCCCAGGCTGAGCTCCCGGGTGAGAGTCCAGGGGCTCCAGCGCATCCCCGCTCGCAGCCCGATCCCTGCTGTCAGATAGCGGCAAATGAGCTAGGCTGAGTGCAGTGAGGGACAGGATATTTATTAGTGCATACGGAGAAATGTATGTTGCGCGCAATCCGCATGCATTTCGCTTTAGGATTCATAGCTCTGCAAAGAAACGTGTAAGCAGTAACCCTATGGCTTGAAATATGTACGGGACATGGGAAACCAGGTTAGCTGACAAAATAACTTTGCTTAACCCAGGCCCATGACTGGTCTACTGACAAATGTATAGTAAATCCAACAGGAGTCCACATATATGGTTTATGTATATTTCAATTTAATATTTGAAATAATCTCCAAACAAACTGGAATGTTAGGATAGGATGTGCACTTACCGGAGCTTTGTATATTGTGCCTTTATAAAAGACCTCACCAATTGATAGTAGATGTCAAGTTAGCGAAATCAGACTGGGTAGCTATCTCATTCTTTTTCTGGATGTTTTTCTGAATTTATATATAAAATAAAATGTACAAACATGGATTTAGTCAACATAATTATTTTATACTGTATCTAATTTTACACTATTTCTTCAGTTTTATACTTTTTATTGCATATTTTCTGAGAAAAAATGGAACCCAAGAACTGTTTTATAATCATTTTTACTAAAAGTTTGCCTTTTTCTGCTAATTTCTTCAGCATCACTATTTTTAATTTTAAAAAGTTGTTTTTGTTTATGACTATATGCTTATAGTTTCTTTGTTGGGTTGATGGAATTCTTTCTGCTTCAGTGGCACTAATTTAAGATTAACATAGGGCTTAGTAGTTAACTTTTTAAAAATCAGATGAATGTATAAACACTTGAAAAAGCTTCTCTCCAATATAAAGGAGTAGTTTTATGCATCTTATGTACTCTGTCAAGCTGATCCATTGCTGCTCCTAAAATGGCTGTATTTTCAGAGGTGGCTTTTTGGCCGAGTATGCACTGAGATGGCTTTCTTGTGTTCTGTGGCTGAATTAACAGCAGGAAAACTCTTAACTAGAGATTTAACATTAATAAAAAATGAATATTAAGGTGCACATAGCTAGTCTCTGTCACAGTATGGTGGCTTGTATTATGCGCTTGTTGATCTATGGGTTACTCTATACTGCATTAGTTAGTCTAGGCAAAACTAATAAGACTTTTGACAGACACTGAATTTTTTGAGGAAAACAGCATATTTGCTCACTAAGACTTTCCATTCTGCAATTATAGAATAATCTAAATGAATAATTCTTCATCAGAAAATGTAAAGCAATAACAAAACAAAATATGCTGGTGTTTGCTTATTCATTACATTAGTTAGGCAGTGAACAACATGGGCTTTTAGTAACTCTAAATGGCCTAATCCAACAACCATTGCTCAGGCAAAACTCCCATAGAAGTCATTAGGTGGTTTCCTTGAGTTAGGAATATGGGATCAGCCCCCAATTGCAGAAAATAGGGTGAGGGAACATGTAAATTAAACTAAGCAAGAGGTGATACTTCTGATTTTTCCAGCAATTATGATAGTACAAGACAAACATGGATTTCAGTTATGGAAATCTTCTCTGCTTGAAATCAACTGCAAAACTAGGTGAATATGCTGGGTTATGCCATTCAAATGTGATAGAAATACACTTAATGGGAAATTCAGTTTACTATATAATGGTACTTAAGACAGCTCGTCTCTCATCAGGGCTGTACATATGGCTGTGGATTCTGTAGCTCTGATCAGCGTTCTCTTTCCCAATCATAAGAGCATAAGATGAGCCACTAGATAAATGTGAGGTAGCATGTGGAGTATTGAGCAACTGGACTGGTTATATGGAAGCTATCAGGATCCACTATGTAAGGACAGCAAAGCAATTACTGAAATTCCTCTGATCTACAGGCAGCCAGGGAAGATGAGGAGAAAGGAGAGAGGAAATATGTTTTTGATGTTTGTCTCATGGCATTATGTCAGTCTGCAATGATTGTCATAAAGCAAATACCATCACAGAATGTCAGGATGTTGTGCAGTGATTATTATCTTTTTTATTTTGCTGATAAAGTGGCTCCCCATCTTTTCTACCATTGACTTAGCTATGTCTGCATATGCGTTTAAAATAATGAAAAGTTTTCTGATGAAAAGAATAAAGGACATCACAGGATAATATTAAGGTTGTGTCCCATTGGTAAAGAGGAAATACAAGAAGGAAAAAGTCCATAGATCTTTGTCTTACTCTGAGTAATGTTTGGTTAATTGTCTGTCCACACCCCAGAGAGACGTAGCGAGGCCAACCTAACCCCGGTGTAGACAGTGCTAGGTTGATGGAACACATTGGAAGGCAATTGAAACCTTGTTATGTAATAGAGAAGAACGTAAAATCACAGACATTGTGCATACATATGCTATGCACTTGAAATATTGTGATTAAAAACTGTAAAAACAAACCAACCAGAAACCAATAAAATGTTTCATTGTGTTACAAAAATTATATTTGTTTGTTTGTTTGTTTTGTTAAAACCTGGCAGTGAAATGTTATAATTTTAGAAATTATTCTATAAAATATCAAGTATCTCAGAATTTTTGGAAACATTGGGAAAAATAGAATGCTGTTCTAAATTAGGTACAAAGAAAGGTATTAAAGAAATGCATTTGTCTTCATAAGGCAGATATATTTTGACAGGATTTTGCAGCTTTTGTAGAGATTCAGAAAGTCTGTATTCAGCATACATACAAACTTTTTATTTTTTTTAAAACAGCTTCAGAATGGAAACTACAAGCCTTTAAAATATTTGTAAATGGTTTACTGGAAAGGTTTACTAGAAACTAAAGTAAGATATGTTTTATGTAATTTTGCAATGTTGACATATAGAAATCTTTAGGTGCCATGTTGCATATTTTGTTAGCAATTCAAAACTGAGTTATCAAATGCTAACACTTTTTTGTTGCTAGTCATACATTCAGTTCTACAATCACTTTTCAAACCATTTTGTCCACATAGTTATGACAACATTACATTTATTCAATTGTTTAGCATTATATTGAAGTTTTGCAGCAAATAAATTTGAAAGGACAAAAGAATTGAGCCATTTGATGTAACATTTGAAGATTCCTTCTAGCAGATATTCAATAACCTGGCATGGTTTTAAAATGTAGAGTTCCAGTAGGTTTTAAATGGGCTATTTGTACCAATGGTACAGAATCATACTTATTAGATAAATGTTATACTTTAAAATAATATTTAGAGCTACAGCCTCAATTCAGGAAAGAATGCATCCTGTTGAATACAGAGCTTAAACACACACTTAACTTTAAAATTCTATTGGAACTTAAAAAGCAACAGAGGGTCCTGTGGCACCTTTAAGACTAACAGAAGTATAAGGAGCATAAGCTTTCGTGGGTAAGAACCTCACTTCTTCAGATGCAAGTAATGGAAATCTCCAGAGGCAGGTATAAATCAGTGTGGAGATAACGAGGGTAGTTCAATCAGGGAGGGTGAGGTGCTCTGCTAGCAGTTGAGGTGTGAACACCAAGGGAGGAGAAACTGCTTCTGTAGTTGGATAGCCATTCACAGTCTTTGTTTAATCCTGATCTGATGGTGTCAAATTTGCAAATGAACTGGAGCTCAGCGGTTTCTCTTTGGAGTCTGGTCCTGAAGTTTTTTTGCTGTAAGATGGCTACCTTAACATCTGCTATTGTGTGGCCAGGGAGGTTAAAGTGTTCTCCTACAGGTTTTTGTATATTGCCATTCCTGATATCTGACTTGTGTCCATTTATCCTCTTGCGTAGTGACTGTCCAGTTTGGCCAATGTACATAGCAGAGGGGCATTGCTGGCACATGATGGCATATATAACGTTGTTATGGTGCGGTGCGTGGTTGCTGGTGAGAGTATATCCACGCACCGCACCATAACAACTCTAACTCAGGAACCAACCCATGCAACAAACCTCGATGCCAACTCTGCCCACATATCTACACCAGCAGCACTATCACAGGACCTAACCAGATCAGCTACAACATCACCGGCTCATTCACCTGCACGTCCACCAACGTTATA